AAAAAAATGCATATGATTGGCATGGAATGCAGACTAGCTGATTTGTATTTTCAGACAGTATTTTACATAAACATCGCTAAGTATATTTTGGTGAATACAAAAGCTAGTCAATGTCAAAATTACAAACAAACCTGTATAGACTCCAGCGGGACATCGGAGACAGTTTTTACGAGGCCTTTCTCTTCATCGTTACTAAATCGACTACATTATGCTCATACAATCATCACACAAGATCTTACCTGAAAGCAATCCCTTCGACAACTAAATTGTCGGTAGTAAGCGTTCCAGTCTTGTCAAAACAGCATATATCAATTTTACCAGCAAATGGAATTCGGAATGGTTCCGTACAGAACACTCCTGCAAAATTCTCATTTTTTGTGAAATGGACTGAAGTTTATTAACTCACCTAATTTTTGCAAAGCGATCAGAGATGTATTAACGGCAAGCGAAAGCTCGATAGGCAATTCTGGAGGAATGACACTGGTGAGAATGAGGGTACATTCCAAGAAGAGCTTGTACTTGTTGCGTGACTCATCTCGGCTGCCTGCAGTAAAGCGAGGAATGAATTCAGCTTGTGAGTGCACAAAAGTCACGAACCAACTATCCACAGATATGCAGCGGCAGCAACGGCGAATATGAGCAAGAACAATATGAAGCAGAATGTTTCCAAATTATTCGCAGTGACTCTTTTCACACCAAACATTATAGTCCTGTACAAAAATTTATCGAGGTGAAAAATGAATAAGGTTATTAAGCCGGCGAACCTGAGGAGCTTTCCTTGACTGGTATTGAATCCAGTCCTGAGAACATAGCAGATGCATCCGTTGTCAGGGCCTTTGAGACCTTCTACGCCTTTACCTGAAAAGTGCAAGGGAACGATTCAGAAGGAAACGAAAAGAAATGAAGGCGGTAAACTCGTTTGAGAACGGATGATTTCTCAGAAGAAATTCCAGAAAGGTTGATGATATTCACTTACCCTGCCATTATGTCATTATAGCCACAAGCTTTCCCTCGTCCCCTTTACGAAAGTACAACTAGTTATTTAGTGATATATTAGGCCTTGGCAACAGAGCGACCGCGAAACATCGCAGCAACAGCAACTAGGAATATTCTAGGGCGGGATCAAGATAAATGTGCTTTTTTTCAACAGCTGATCCATCCAAAAAATGACCGTCGCCATAATCGCTATGCAATGTGTATTTCCAAATCTGTTCAACTTTGCTTAATGCACTTTTTACATCGATTTCTGCGAAAACAGAGGGTGATTGTGAGAAAGAGCAAAGAGATAAAGCGTTGCGGAACATTTTTATAACTCATAACTTTCCTTATGAAATTTCTAAGAGCAATTTTCGTGAAAATTCTGAATTTAGATGATTGTGCGGCTGTGATTTTTACCAGAATAATAGGATTCGCAAGCTTTCACCGCCTTGCTTGATAAATTTGTCGTCTGTAGCTAATCAGCAACAAACCATAGTGAGGTTCAGAATAAGGAATTTTGAGCGCTCAAACATCGAACTTCAAAATGCACAGCCTCCTTTTTTTCAAATCTATGAAACTACAGAAATTTCCACATAGATTGTTACGGCGCGATTCAAGAGTGAATGAGTTGCTTTTTTCTTCCGAATCAAGGTATGTCACTTCTCTTATTTCAAGAGCAATTATACGACAAAGCTTTGGCTTTCAATGAATAAGAGTTCTACTACTATGAAAAACAACAAAATAGAAAATGCTTGACAAAGAGTGATCATTTGAGAAGTGAAGCAGAGCAGCTCTACGTCAAATCTTACAAAAGAGAAAGCTGCTATACGCCTAAGTACATCAATCACAATGCAAAAAATCCCAAGACTGAACCACAAAAAAGCCAAGCAAACAAAAGAAGCGCTAACCTGGAGGAGTATGCTGTACAATTTTCGTGCCTCCGAATACCACATGAAGACGACTATCCGCATCAATGTCGAAGACCCTATCCTTTTCTATATCTTCGATAGGTTCCTGAAAAGGCAAACAATTGTCACGGATTTGCCCTACAGCGGATCAGAAGAGACATTGATAGGCTGAAACAAACAATCAACCTTCATCTGAGGTACGGATTCTCCAGTAAGCATAGACTCGTCCACTATGCATGGGCCTCGCAGCAAGATCATGTCACACGGTACAGCTTGCTCATCCGAAGAACGCCCTCAAAAAATGTTGCGTTACAACACATATCTGCATAAACGTGAAATAATAAGAGCTTACCGATAGATACAATATCACCAGAAACCAACTCATCAGTTTTTATCTTCATCCATTTGTGATTTCTATAGACCTAAACTGATGAGATAAAAAGGGCTTCGCTAAGAAATCAGCGTTGAACCTGTATCATAAAAGCTTTGTTTCCCATGTTTCGTATTTCTTGCATATTCTTCAGCTGAGCTTTCACAAGTGTTGCTTCGAAGGTCATCAACATGAAGAGGGTAAACAGCGAATAATACCACATATCTTCTAGACACCAAAGTCCGACACAAAACACCTAGAGCACGATATTAAAAAAAGGAAATCACAACAATTTAGAGTTTGTTACCTGGAACACGAAGAATGGTGCAGTCGCCCGCTCTTTGAACAGGTCCCAAAACTGCGGTATGACCATTTCCGTTCTGAAAGCGAAATACTCAGACCGTCAGGGGGACTGTGTTTAAATGATGGTACGAGAGTATTTAATCTGGGGTTTTGAATTCTACAAAACTTTGAAAAGAATTTTAAGAGGAAAACTCACTTATTGTCTCCATAAAGATACTTCGTCTCTTCTAACTGCTCATCGC